CAGGGTCAAAGGGGGGTCCGGAGCCGATCCTGGAGGCTATGGGCACAAGGCAGGGAACGACCCAAGATGGGGCAGTGAAGAGCACCAGCTTGCATGTCTGTTCTATATCACATACTCTGCAGGTTACTGGTGCCTGGCACCTAGAGTCTGAATTTGACAGGGAAACCTAAGAGACTGATCCATGGAGCAGAGTTTCAAGATGATGTCACAGTCGTCTAGGCAGGGGAGCATTGGACTGGGGATTGGGGCAGAGGGCCATGCAGTGAAGCAGAAGGCTGCAAAAGGGCCAGAAGAACAGTCACAATCTCAGAAGGCCAGACAATGATATGGAAGAGACTTCTGTCAGAACAACTGAGTCAACTGGGTACAGCAGAAATAGGGTGAAATAGTGACAGCATCAAAAACTCAGCATGTGATATGACAGGCTGGTTATACGCTGGGCATGCAAATGGTGGCACACTGATGCTGATGTGTCTGAGTATTGCACTACTTGCCGTAGATCAGGGTTCCACCGTTTCTCAACCCAGTCCTTGCAGACGGTTCACATTTTTTCTCTCTCCCAACTGCCTGGGTATTGGACCGTCTGGGAGTCCGCGGGAACCGTCTTAAGGAACACTGCCAGAGATTGTAATACTAGGTACTGACAGTAAACTTTAGTGAGCAATTTTGTCCAACATTTCATACAGTGTTGTTGCACTTCCATCTTACAAAACAATATTTTTAGTTCTCCTAAATAGCAAGGCTGCTATATCTGAAAAAGCCTTCGTTTGCAGATTATGTATTCATGCTGATTCTTAGTGCCACATTTTGCTCTTAATAATCATATTGATATCTATGTGACACTGGAAAAAAATGAGTCATATATACGCAAACCATCTTCTTTACCTGAGATTCAGAGTATATCCTGGAAACAACAGGCTGAAGGTATGGAAGAACCGAGGATGGGACCCTACAGCGACAGGGAGAGCATGCAGACTCCACACACAAGAGCAAGGGCATAGACTGAAAAACTGGTCTCCAGAGAGGCGATTACACTAACCACGGCACCGCCATGGATGCCACCCTGCTCAAATACGACCATTGGTGTGAAAAGTCATATAAGGCAAATACTAAACGTATCGAACAGAAGCACAATAAAAGGATCACAAAAGAATCCTAGCCATGGAAACTCAAAAGCATTATAATGTTTACAGCTAAGACCTGGAAATGTCTACTACATCAGTGACCACGCCATGTATCTAAGAGAGTACACACAAGTGTTTTTCATGAGTACAATCAAGTACTCCACAAATACAGTCAAGTATTCCATGAGTACAACCAAGTATTTCATGAGTATAGTCAAATATTCCATGAGTACAATCAAGTATTCTATGAGTATGGTGAAGTATTCTGCCCACAGCAAGGCATTCCCAACCTTCTTGCTACTTGCTGTTAGAGTGGGGGAGGGGAGATAGGTGGTGGTGGTGGTGGGGGGGGCGGTTCCTGAGCACCCCATCTGTGAATGATTGAAAGGCTTCTGTGCCCGGGATGAAGTGTGATAAAAACCGGAGGTAGAAGTCAAAGGGACTCAATCAGGGACAGAGGCCCGTCCCCTGGGAGAGGGGTGGGCGGGCACCACATGTCCAGATCTCTGCAAGCATCTGTTTGAAGTTCCCCAATGAGAACCATCAGTTCCCTGGGTGTGAGTTTCACAGGAAGGTGACCCTGCAGCTGATACTGTGGGTCACCTCTCACCGAACCTGGAACCTCTAATTATCCAGGCAGCTTTCTGCATCATTTGTAATCTCCATAATCGGATGACCCAAAAACTCCTAAGAAGGCCTTTGGCTCAGACAAAATCCAAAATCCAGTTTAGCATTAAATATTAATTAAACATATCCATCCATTATACATTATACAATATTTAAAACAATCAATATCAAGACTTCTTCATGGGTAATTATGCTTTGACTAGAATGTGATTACTTGCGTTAAATCGCATGCTTGTTGTGGTAGATTCTAACATTTTTACGGCAAAGGCAAATTATACTTAAAATAATACCGCATAATCTTCGGAATAACACTTAACGTTGTTGGAATTATTTCAGACTAGCTCATTCCACAGTGCATTACAAGTTAAATTTATTATAAAGTTAAGAATTATTTTCGAACACTATATTGACTACAACATGCATGGGTATCGATTTTATTATATTGAAGATTGAAACACGAACCTGCAATCTACAGGTGAAAAGCTTTTGTTGCGTCAAATGTGCACCCTCGGAGATTATTTAAACTTAAATATATATTACATATTATAAGAGGAATCATAACTGTTGGTTATTTGCACCTCTGGACGTCGCTTCGCAGATGAGAGCGGTTTCTTTTCACTAAGCAACACGCTCGTCGCGGAATTTCCGCTGCCTGCATGGCATGCCGGCTACGCTTTACTCCTTGTCCTTGAACTGCCGACTGCTTCTGGACGTCTCTTGCCAACTTTAATGAGTTAAATAGAGCTTTCCCCTATTGCCTTTAATTGAAAGTTGACCGCACATAATAGCAGCGATGTATTTGAAATGGCCGACTCAACACATGAATGCCTATTGGAGTAATTGATGGACAGATTCGGTATAGGGGTCTGCGCATTCAACTGAATGGAATAGCGACCCGGGAGTGTGTGTTTATTGTGATTTTGTTTTGCATTTTAACAAAAGAACGCTCCTGATATGACAATCCCTAAAACAGCGCCACAAGAGAGCGTTTCCCGGCTACCCGGTTGCTTCATAAATTAATCCCATCCTACCGTCAAGAACAACAGAGTTCTTCAAAGTTAAGCGGTCTATTAACACCGCCCGTCAAGCCCCCTTTAATCTCACCGCCGCGGTGCCTGATAAATCCTAGCACGGGTAACCCTCAATGTCTATAAAACTCTAATGCCTTTATGTATTTATTGGCCGCAACGGTTAATTAAGACATCATTGACAGCCCCCCTCTATGCGTAACAAAAATAAGCCAATTACCATAGCAATTAGAGGTAAATTATATTTAAGAAGAATTTCAGGAAAAAGCGATTTATATAACTTCGCAGGCTCTATTTTATTTAGCTTACAGTTGCAAAACCGGCAACTGTATTCATTGGCAACTGCGTAAATCAGTCTGCATTTAACTGCGGGCTTTCATTTTCCTGTATCAGCTGACTTTCATTTGTCTGTTTCTGACCAGTGGGTAAATAGGTCTTGGAACTCCTAATTATTATAATAAACAACACATAAACAATATTTTCTATAATTTCAAAATATTTTTCCTTTCGGGTTTTTTTTAGTTTATACTTATCAAAGTATACAGGAATGTGAAAGAGGATGTAATGTATGAAATATTATAGGAAAAGTAGACGATTGAAAATGGTGGGATTAGTTTCGGTGTCAAATTCTCCCAATTTGAGGCCAGATGCACAGATGTCATATTTCAACATTTTCGTTGGACAGAAGATCAACCTCACTGAAAAGGACGGGAACAACATTACTGTTCCATAATGGTCATTCAATAGCAATGTTAACTTTAAAGTACTAAAAGTGAGTGAGCGTTGACTTGACATCTAGTAATAATGTACATTACAGGGCTGCGCACCCGCTAATCAGCGACGGGTTAATTTAACCTGTCTGTATCTCCGCTTTTACTCTTCGCTCGTTTACCGAAGGGCATCACGGGATGACTTACACTTGGCGTCTTTTATAAAGAGATCATACAGAATACATAACCCGCGAAACCTCAGCTCCCTGTGGGACGTACATTCCTGCGCACAGGTGCAGGCTTTTCCAAAGGGATGCTGAGCTTGGCTAAGAGAAATTCAGTATAGAAATCAAATTTGGTGGGGCATGAGAGAGAGGAGGGAAAGAAAGAGTGATGGTTGTTATGATCGTTTGGGGCCCCGTACAAATAAAAGTGTCGACGTCCTGTCATTCCGTCCATGTGCACGGGTGTCGTTGTGCTTGAATCAGAGGTAAGGTAAGAATATTGGAGGTATTTACCATTAAACTCCAGGGCATACACGAAACGACTGAAGGCAAATATAATGTCATTATACAATTTATGATTATGTAGCTTATGAAGTACAAATGCATTATCATTATGAAATAAACCAACCCGGGGCATACGTTTTGATTTCCTGGGCGTCATCCTCTGAATTCCAGGTATCATTAAAGAACTATGCGATTATTTCTAAAGACGTTTGGTTATAGTTTTTTTTTTTTTTTTAGAAATTAGCTGTACTAATTGATGTTTTTTGTACACACACTATCCGGGAGGTCCTTAATCTGTCCTTGACACCTGTATGCACCAAATTTCCAGCTACCGTCGGAATTAAGTGTTTTTTTCTTCTCTCAATTGCATTAAAGCGGGAAATATGATCCTTAAAACATGTTTTAGCTTTAACAAGCTTTAACAGACATGCAGAATAACCGTGTCTAATTGCAAACCACCGAAAATCACCTGTTTTGCTTACAATTCTTTTGTCAGATATTTTGAGTAATCATAATACTTCTACTTCATGTCATTACATATATGCATAAGCAGATAAATATAAATATATTTTAGGGATCATTTGTGCTATATAACTACATTTGCGGTAGCCTAAAAAAACTAAAATAACGTCGTTTGTTGACAGCACGAGTCTTGCGTGAATTATTGGTTTGCTCTATTTTTGTTATTGTTGATTTGAGTCTTTAAAGGGGCGTGCGTCACAAGAGAATTATTCTCACTGTAAATTAGTGTGGAATGACAAATGGATGCCCGAAGCCAAGTCAAACCACCACATGAAATAAAACGACGGAGATCAAAAGAACCAGCGCGTGGGCCTCTTTCCTAATAAATTAAAGGGGAGGGGGGCTGTCTTAGCAGAGCACGCCCTGCAGTACGTTCCTTTGCAACGATTGGTCCAGGAGGGATCGGAAAGAGGGTAACGTTTGAATAAAAATCCAGAGCATATAGCGAGAAGCTTATTAATTCTCTACATAGGGAACAAAATCAATGGCAATATTGACAGTTCTGGTCTAGTAAAACACTGGGAATGTATGAAAAAGATGGCACTTAGACACTGAATTTACCTACTGTGAAAGTTATTTTTGTTTTTTTACTTTTGTACAAGGTGTTGTAATAAAGTTAATTTATTTGAACTTTATTTCAACTGTTTTGCGGATTTTATCTAATTACCGATATTGTCTCAAGTTACCGACATATTTTTGTGTTTCTCCATTCATTTTACAATACTTTATTACTTTTTGCGTGTGTTTTGCTTCTAATACCAAACAGGGGAATCTGTTGGAAAAAAAGAAGAAAAAAACTGCAAAAGAAGAAATGAACAGTGATCGCCTACGTCAAAGAATGAGAACGGTGAAGCTGTTTTATTCGGTTCTATTATTGGCATTGCTACAGTCCGGAGCCCTTGAAGGCAGAAAATCCCGCGGTGGCCGTAACCCCCAGCCACGTCGGGCACAGCCTTCTCCTACATATCGAGGCCGGGGGGACACCACCGAGAGCTTCTCCTTGGATTTCACCGCAGTCGAGGAGAATATAGACAACTTCATGACCCAAGTGAAGAACCTGGCGCAGTCGCTGTATCCCTGCTCCGCTCAGAATCTTGACTACGATATGAAGCTGCATTTCTTGGAGAATACATCAGTCACATGTAACGACGGAAGCCCGGCGGGGTACGTACCCATCGCTCCAGTTTCATTAAATTTTAATGTGAATTCACTTTACACTGGTGTACGGTGAAACAGAAAGCGTGTTAACAAAACCGTCAATAGAATTACATTTATTGCACAAACTAGTAAAAAAGCAATACTGTAACGTAAAACGGGGGTGGGGTTAGTGCAATATAGTATCTGCGGCGGTATATAATAGCCTACAATTTAGTCTAACTATTACACAAATCAAGATATATTTAAAATGCTAGCCTTAACTGAATTTACAAGTCGAGTTTATCTTATAGGAAAGAACGCAAAGACGCAAAGAAGTTGGAGAAATTAGAGCGTAAAACACAGAAAAAAAAGCAAATATTGCAAAATAACATAAACGATATGAAATGATCTTCACGCTTTACTTTCATGCATAGGCCATTATATAACTCTAATATTAGGCTTAATGACTGGTGCACTCTAATCCCGCAGAAACTTATTTGGTGCATCAGTTATTTTTTGTGGCTATTATAACAGGTGTTTTGAGCTGTCCCGTAAATTTAATCGGCTATAGGAATAGAGCATCATTATAGGCAGGAATTACATTTAGCGTCAATAAAAATATGTTCTACATGTGAACATCTAAGACAGAGCAGTGGTTGCGAATTTGAGATGTGTTCTTCTTTCCGGTACAATGGTAGTTTTCAATTTTCACTTGTAAGAATTAGCAAAGGAAGACTGACGCTCCTTTCCCTGGTAAGCATATCAGCAACTGACTTGAAATAAACAAAATGAAACCGTTTCTGTTTTAATATAAAATTGCAAGAGTCGGTGTAATAATGATTAAATTAAAGCCCATTAAGCCAAAGGTTGGCTTGTCGAAGAATTTTCGTATTAATTTATCTGATGCAAATTCTCGTGGTTCATTTAAAAACGCGAGCAGATGACTCATTAAACTGCGTGAAAATCTTTTATTGATGAGAAATCTTGATGAGAAATGTCGATACTCACCGCTCGCATGGGACTAAGCATCCGAAACTTACCTCCTCGGACTAATTATTTAACAGCTCGCTATGGATTTGTTCGCTTTCCAGAGTGATGTGCACGCAAAAGGTTAATGCACGTACATCGATGGGAAGTGCAGTGAGAGTTCATACAGGCGTCGCTAGTGCGATCTTGAGGGGGGGTCTTGTGGACTCTGTGACCCATCAGTTTCCTCATCCGTCGAGATGTCAAAGGCTTTTGCCCAATGTGAAATGAATTATTACTCAAAATTCAGTCTGTGTTCCTACTTCAGAAACTCCCTTGTTTGTAGTGGATGCTGCATGGATTTTGTTTTGGTTTTGATGTTGGGAAAAAAACTAGGTGAAACAGTATGTAAAATACTTTATTTCAGAAAGGAACAAAATATAGATTTACCGGCAATAGTGGTAACGCGTTCTTTATTCTGTTCTCGGGTGTCTCCTCCCAGTCATGATGTAATTCAGCTCAGGCTGCAGGCCAGACACCTATTTAGGAGCGGGAAGAAAAAGACCATGTTAACACTAACAGAAAAACATTGATTCTTCATGAATGTGTTTCTCGTTTGGTGCCGTAAGATGATGTTTGTTTCAGCTGTTTTGTAAGTAGAGCTGTCTGCTATAAATGCCACCCCTCGCCTCCGATTACAGCTTGTTTTATTTCCCAGTAAGGGTAATCACCTTGAATGCATCACAGATATTACAAGAGCGTTTCCATTAGCTCTGGCCCACGTCTGGCGGCTGACATGATTCACAGTTACTGAAAAACCGGGAAGTTGTTGGTCATTGGTCTCCGATTCAATCACGCTGGGCTTCGAAGAAATGTAGTTACGGTAAGAAAATCTGGAGGCACTTTAGGATGAAATAGTCATTTTAACCTAATTGTGAAACTGTAAAAAAAAAAACAAAAAAAACTGTTCATAAACCCACAGGTATTTGCTTGTGGGCTTCAAAGTAATATGCACTTGTTTAAAAATGTGCGTTTTGGGCAGCGGCAGGTTGTATTATAAAGTATTTAACGGGATCAAAATGATGCGAAAGGTTTTATGAAAGGGTTATTATCGATGTATAAGTTAGTTGACGTTATATCTGTCCATCTTAAATATTCGCTTTCGGCTTGAACCTAAAGGGTGTAACTGAGAAACACACTGTCACAGCAACTATAGTGTGCCTCGTATTGCAAATCTCTAGGGTACAACTGCAACCCCACCATCTGTTCCTGAAATGTAAACCTATAAAATGTAACAGTATAGTTCAGTTTTAGCCCCTTCTGTGGCATAACTGCTTGTGTGTGTGTGTGTGTAGAAGAGTTTGTGGCCTCAGTGAGTTTAGGACTGAAGGGACACTCCTGTTTGACCACTGAGTAAGGTATTTACTGCACGTTTTAATCCTGTACACATCCAGCCCTATGCACTGTAAGACACACTGATTTGCAGAGGTAGAAACTTCCAGTCCAGGAAGTACAAATCCAGACCAGGATTTTGTTGCAACCAATCAGCTGGGTACTCCGTGACTTTATGCTCAACTGGTTGGTTGAAATAAAATCTTGGTCGGGATTTGTACTTTTTGGACCTGAACTTTCCACATCTTCTTATTTGAATGGAAGTGTCCAGAACCAGAAATGCTGAACACGTCGTATCAGTCGTCCCACGCAGCGCTTGGCTTGTTTTGGGTAACATAAGATTTGGTTCTTCTTACCTGGATGCTGATTATTCTAAAGTGGATCAACTCCAGTTTTTTTTTTTTACAGTGACATAATCACATTTGTTTCAGTGAGTGTAGTGAACTGAAATCTGAATTGCTAGTATTTCATCCTGCCTCATTATGGGATGTGCGGTAAATGTGTTTCAGCCTCAGCCAGCTTCATCTCTTAGCCATTTTCTGTCTGCTGGGAACAGAAAGTAACACCACTTTTACACCTCACACAGTTACTATGATATTTATTAAAAGTGTTTATCTATATATTCTTGGTCAGTCATACTCAATCAGAATTTGATGTGATATGTAGGAAAACATAAATTTGTAAATGTTGTGTGAACGAAACCTTACAAACACGTACTTCACAGGCAACAGCACAGGAGAGCATTTAATATTGGCGCAGGCTGATATTCTGTATTAGGAACATGACATGCCAGTCTGGTCATTTGGAGGTGGTGTTAATCCCGCTACTGGTTTGCTTTTGATTTAAACTTGTCCATTTTTGGGTCCTGCAGGTATTACATGAAGGAATCCAAAGGAAGCAAACGGTGGCTGGTCTTTCTAGAAGGTCAGTGTTTGTTACTGTGAACTTCCACAGACATTTGGTGTGTGACAATGTAACTACGCATTATGTAATAATGTTGCATTATGTAATAACTGGACAGAATGTAACAAATTGAATGATGGTAATAACAATGATGATGATGATAATAGGGAAATGTTGCAATCACAATTATAATGTAGTCTATAAATTTGTTACATTTTAGTTATTACTATATTATATAACAATGCAATTTTGCACAATGTGTAACTGCATTATGTAATTACATCACATGTCAGTGCATGGTTCCCAACCTTTTTTGGCCTATGACCTCATTTTGACATCACAAATTTCTGGCGACCCCATAGACATTTTTGTCCTAGAATTAGTTCTTAATCATGTTTGTTATACCGTGTTGCAAATACAGAGTAGCCAGATTAGTGCACAAAATCACATTTTATTTTCCCTGATCACATGTACAGTTAGGCGAGCTTTGTCTTTACAAGGCTGAGGGTGATGGCGATCATTTTATTTGAACACATTTAAATTTATTGTTATTTACCAAGAATACAGATGAATACAGTGAATCCCGGCTTTTCCACAGTATGTATGGGCACCATGTCTTTTACAGTATACATCGCGACAGCGTTTGTTATCGCCTTCCATCGTGCCCCATTCTTATCATACGGCACACAGTTCGAAAACGTGTCAGGGAAGGTTGCTTGCTTAACTTTCGATGTCGTGCTGGTGCTGCGGGTAATTTTATTTCGCTGGGAGCTGCACTTCTCCCACTCCGCTGCGTGCCTCTGCTTTAGGTGCTGAAATAAATTTGTCGTGCTGCTTCCTTTGGTTGCAACAGTATTTAAACACACTTTGCAACGAGGACTTGTTCGGTCTGTGTCCGACGGCACAAAACCGAACCCATTTCATATTACAGATGTAGCAACACCTTTCTTGGGCACAAGCTCCAGCTTTTCCCCTATCGTTGCCATGTTGTTTGTGAATCTGCTACAGTGTTTGGGTGCGCCGCGCTAATTTACCCGTGAAGAACGGTGCGTCGCATTAGTTCCGCTTTTGGCGCTCACGTGTAAAATACGTAATAAAATCGATTTTCATAAAAACACATCGTCCTGAACTGTAAATTCGAATTAATCGATAAAATCGATGTATCGCCCACCTCTAATTGTATGTGGTGTTTTAATCATAATTTTTAAAAGAATAATAATTAGTTACTTCTTATATATATTTTTATCAGTATTTTTGTTTTTATCAATTACTAGACATTTCAGGGGACCCCATTTGAATTCCAGGCGACGCCACATGGGGTCGCGACCCCAAGGTTGAAAAACACTGCATTATGATAATTTGTTGCATTTTGTCGAGTTATTACATAATATGTTGTTACAGACGCTAGGACATTAACAAAAATTAATACGTCCTCTTGAAGAGTTAATTTCGGGAGCGTGTTGACATGTCCTTGTGCATAACAATGTGTCCGTTCACACCAGGTGGATGGTACTGCTTTAACAGAGTGAACTGTGACACCAGGTTCGAGACAATGAGGAGGCTCATGAGTTCAACAAAATGGCCGCTCAGCAAGACAGGTGAGAGGGTGTAGTGCGGCACAGTCGGTGCCATGGGCGTGGCTGAAATGTGCCAGTGGACTCAGCATGCTGCTGGTATTAACACAGCACACGGGTGTTATTGGCAAATCAAGCAAAGAGGTTTAGCAGGCTGGGTGTCTGAGGCCAGGCCAGGTCGCCCCCTGGGTTAATAGCTTAAAACATGCATTTCAAGCTTGGATTTCTTTAACTGCTCAAGCTCCTCTCACTAATACCTCTGTCCCTCAGTATCTGCGGGTGATTGGTTCTAGGACCCCCTGCGGATACCGAAATCCCAGACATTCAAATGCGGTACTATTTGCATATAACCTACACACATCCTCCCGTATACTTGGAATCAGTTTTTCCCAATCTGGTCCTTGGGGACCCCCAGCCAGTCCACATTTTGTATCATATAAAATGTGGACTGTCTGGCAGTAAGCTGGGAGGGAGCAAAAACGTGGACCGGACTGGGAAACACGGCTTTAGATCATCTATAGATTACTTGTAATGCCTACAAGCCTAGTACAATATAAATGGCATGTAAACAGTTGTTATTCTGTATTGTTTAGGGAATAATGACAAGTAAAAACAGTCTGTACAGTACAGACGCAGCCTACAGCAGGGCCTGCCTACACATCACTTCATTCTTGTGGATTCAGCATACTTCTTGGCACACTACAAATTTAAGGTTTGATTTTTGCAACCTTCAGGAATTTTCTTTCGATTCACGGTGGGTTGAATCCGCGGATGCGGACCTTGTGGACATGGAGGGCTGACTCTGGCTTCTTTAATAAGACTGATAACCTTGTGTTGTTATGAAAAGCTACAAGTGGCTAAAAGAATGTGAAATGGTGTTATTTTTAAGCGCTGGCTATGGTGTGTGTGTTGTAGGTTTAGGAATGACATTCCTTTGTGTCCCTGTCTTCTCCAGGGACTGGAATACTGTCGCCGTTGCCTGAAGAAAACCCCCACTGGTGGAACGCCAATATGGTGTAGGTGATATTACCCTGTGCTGAATGTGTCTGTTTCTGCGTCTGTTTGTCACTAGTTTCTAGCTGTGACTGTGTGTGACTCTGATAGGGGCGTAAAAGTCTACGATGTGATTGCCCTGATAAAAAACTGTGCATCGGATACAATTAGGAATAAACTCGGGATGCATGGTTTCTAACATCTTTGCATCGGTAAAATCCGACTTCTACCCATACATTTTCCGTACCCACTTGTCCTATTCATTGCCGCGGGGGAGTCTGGAGCTTATCCTGGAGGCTCGGTGCACAAGGCAGGGAATAACCCAGGATGGGGCGCCAACCAATCGCAGGGCTAAAATACCAACAATTTTTGACCAATCATTTTATATTCTCCCCCCCCTCTCTAAACTGTTAGTCAAGCATACTGTCTCATTTTGAGTTCTCCACTGCTATCAAACATCATTGAGATTGCATAACATCACATTCTTTTGCATCACGTCGTTTAGCGTTGAATTCAATTGTGTCAAATTAAATCATATGGAATCACACTGTATTGCAATTGGGGTGAATCTTATCATATCGCAGTAGCAGTCGCTTCAAATGTATCTTTAATGTATCGAGTTGTTGGCAATGCATCGAGATGTGTGTCACACCAGCCTCAGAGATGGAGATGCACATCCCTAGAGTGTGGGGGGGGTCCCAGGAAAAAGGTGGTGGGTCATGGACAACAGCCCCACGATGTGGTGTGATGAAGCCTGGAGGGGGGGGGCTGCATTGCTATGGAAACAGGGGGCGGAGCTTGTGTAGGATCGTGACGAGGGGAGTCACCGTGCGGATGCTGTCGTTCCAGCTTCATCCCCTACTGCTCCAGCGATGCGTGGAGTGGAGCCGCCGCCAGGACAGACCAAAGTAAGCGGACACTTCCTGAGCTGACGCATGCTGCACCCCTGCAGTTCACACTCTGTCGCAGCACTAATGCATCTCCGGTCCATAAATAATAATCTCTCCCGCATGATATACGTGTGTAATTTCTATATTTTCACGCTTTCTGCCGCTGTGTGCAGGCGGCTACGCCTTCATGGGGTCTCTGATCGTGAAGGAGGTGGTGAAGGAGCTGCTGGTAAAGGGTCTGGGGAACGCCAAGGTCCTGCTGCTAGCTGGAAGCAGGTGAGCTGAGGTCTGCGCGTCTGTCTGTCTGTGCACATGTGTGTCTGCAGGTTCTGAGATTGCTGGTGAGGACAGAAAAAGCTGATGCTGTAGGGATGTCCAGGGCTGGACTGGGATTAAAAATCGGCCCTAGACTTTAGGGTCCCCTACGATAACTTTCCTGGGGTGGGGGGGGGGGGATTTCCAAGCTCTGGGAAAATGCCAGGGAACTGGTCTTTTTTGCACATTTTTCATATATTTTGTTTTGCTGATGCCAGTACTTTCAAATTTAATTGACTTTGATCTGTCTTTAGAGCTTTGGGTGGAGGGTCATTGATTACAGTAAGAAGGGGTTGGTTAGGAATTCAGGGTGTTACTGCATGGCTTTGGGAACGTTTCTGTTACCGGGGCGATTCACGCATCGTCCTCCTTCGGGGCAGCGCCGGGGGGACAGGAGTCCTGCTCAACGTGGACCGGGTGGCGGAGCAGCTGGAGGAGCTGGGTCACACCGGCATCCAGGTCAGGGGCCTGTCCGACTCGGGCTGGTTCCTGGATAACAAGCAGTATCGCTGCACCGACTGCCTGGACACCATCAGCTGTGCCCCCACTGACGCCATCAAAAGAGGCATCAAGTAAGAGCCAGCCCCCTCGAGGGTCATGTGATCGGTCACATGGTCTAACCAAGGGAGGAAGCATTTTATCTCTGGAGGGATTTGCCATTCGCATTTACGTGTTTGTTTGGTGGCATATGTAACGTTTTTTATTCATTTGAACATGTCATCAGACTTGTATATAAATGGATCATTGAGCACTGTTGTGGGTGTTCTTCAGAGTATGGCGTGTGACCTCTAACCTTTGACCCCCGACCCAAACTGCAGGTACTGGAATGGGGTGGTCCCCGATCGCTGCAAACAGGCCCACCTGGGAGAGGAGTGGAACTGCTTCTTCGGTTACAGAGTCTATCCAACCATAAAGAGTGAGTCCTGCCGTCCGGGGAAAGGGCGTAATGGAGTTAATGCACTCTATGGTGGGTGCGTAGCTGCTGACTGACAGAGTGTGTCGGTGCCTGTGTGAGTGAAGCTTTCTAAACACTATTTATATCACTATTAATATCATCATTATTAGTGATGCTATTACAAGCTGTATTTAAGTTTTCACATTTATATTTGTCACCAGTTCAACATATATGCCATAATTTTTTGGTTTTGTGTATATTCACTATCCACATCTTCCTCACTTTCTATGAAGTCTTCCTCACTTTGTGCATGCCCCCCCCCCAGGTCCCGTGTTTGTGGTGCAGTGGCTGTTCGACGAGGCTCAGCTCACCGTGGACAACATCCACCTGACGGGGCAGCCACTGCAGGAGGGCCAGTGGCGCTACATCCAGAACTTGGGCAGCGAGCTGCGTAACACGCTGAAGGACGTCCCGTAAGCGCCCTGGGGCGTCTCAGCCCTGCCTCTCTCACCAGGCCCATAGCTCAGAGGTGGTCTAAGGCTGCCTCTCTCACCAGGCCCATAGCTCAGAGGTGGTCTAAGGCTGCCTCTCTCACCAGGCCCATAGCTCAGAGGTGGTCTAAGGCT